TATTGGGGGATTGCCAATGACATTATTGTAATTCTATAGTATGATTTTTCACATTTTTTATGTTTCTTATTATCACTCCCCCAAAAGCTTAACGTACTCTTTGAGGGGAGGTATGTAGTCGAGTGAATCAAGAGAATGTCAAGGTTAAGCATGAGATCCCCTCGACATTGAACTTGATTGCCATCCATTAATGCAATACAATTTGTCTTTTGTCTAATTCATGTGCCACCTTTGTTGCCTTTTCTTGTGTTGTTGTTTGTTGCTTAGGGTTTCTGATCGCATTTGAGTGCCGCATGGGGCCCCAACGACTAGCCCCGTAACACTATTGTGGCGGTGATGACTGATGATGTTGTCGTCTCACGTTTGCGTTTGGTTTGTCCAACCGTATGCGCATTATTGCAAGCCCGGCCGGTTAATGGAGGCCTGATCAGGCCATACTCCAGATAAACGCGGCAGATGGTCAGTAGCCGGGCTTTTCAGTTCCACTGTCACTTTCTAAGCCAAAGGCCACAGCCATCCATTTGTCTCATCTTCATCCTCGCGCTTTTTGTTACCAACTTACAACCGTTCGACGCTACCCCTCTCTCTCCCCATGACTCCATCAATTCGCCCATTTGATTTAGGGTTCTCCTCAGTGGGATACTGCCGCATAGTAGATGTCGGATCACTTCTTAGACCCTGCTTTATCGCGCCGGCCGGAAACAGAACAAGAAACGCAATCTGAGCCCATGCCAGTTGATACATTCAAGGCACATACCTTCCGCATATTCACTCTCAAACGATGAAACAAATTGAATTCTCCCGACCAGCCGGCCACCGTGAGAAAAAAAAAAAGGACACGAACCAGAAAAAGTACTGATCGAGGTCGAGCCCATCAGCAAAATATTGTATAATAATTAATCAAGCGTATGAGATGTACAAATTACACGTTACACGCGCAATTTGAGTGTGAGAGAGAGAGAGTGCAATTTGAATGTCTAAGAAAATACTTAGAGAATGGATCGTCTGTTTGTCTTTCGCTTTTATTTGTTGGACTGGTACCAGTAACATGTTCATGAAAGGTTTGTCGGATTGCAAAGGCGGTTGTTAGCGAGTCAATACATTATCCGGACAATCTTGAGCATATTAATTTCCAACCAAACCATACAACTTGCTCACGTTCAAGTACAAACGAAACGAACCGGACGATAACATCCGCCTAAACCTATCTAGCCCTATCTTGAAATTGGGTTTGTCTGAAATCGTCGAAGAAGAGATGTGGCTATTTTTTCCATCAAAGTAAGACGATTTCGTGAGTCGTGACAATGTGAACTGCAGCCTGTCCTATACTTTTATACGTGGTAAGTTTTAGTTAGGGGTGGCAATTTTTCACCCAATTCGCCAGTATCTAATCCGCCCAGTCTGATTATTTATTTGGCGGGTTGGAAATGAATTGATTATCCATTGGGGCAATTTAAATGGGTTGGTTTGTGTATAATCATTGGGTTAATCATTAAAGATATAATTATTAATTTTTTAATCATTTTTTTATTTTTTTTATTTGAATGAAAATAATTTATAATTAATATATTGGTTTTCTATTAATTATTGATTAAAATTAATTTTGTATCAAATTAATATATTTCGCCCAAATCAACTTGACCCGAGTCCGGACCAACTCAACTTGGTCTAAATATGAATAGACCCAATCACCTCGGTTAGGTTTGTTTGGGTTGGTCAGCCCAGTCCAAACCCAACCCAAACCAGAGTAGGCCAATCCCGGGCTTGACCCAAATTCAAAACAGGACCAGATGGGATGGTTCGGCCCAAACCCCAGTCCGACCCAAAATATGCCCACTTGCTTTTGACCTGGTTTGATTTGTCCAGTCAACTCGTATCTGTACAACCTGAACCGGTCCGATTTACTTCCATTTTCCCACTTCGTGTCAATCAGTTCGGTCTCAAACCCGTGCACAAACGTGAACCCAATCCAAGTCAAATTGCCATTGATTGAACCGGTCTGGTCTAGTCCAACTAGATTGATCTGAATCCAAATAGTTCAACCACTCTTGATGTGATTAGCTCGAAGATAATCCAATTAGATAGTTCTATGCTTATGTGTATATAATATGCATGTAATGTGATTTGAACATTCACTACTTGTTTAAATAACAATCACAATTACCACCAAGCTATAACCAACTTACTTGTCAAATGAGAGTACGTTTCCTATTTAAAATACATAAATATAAGATTAATGGGTTTGGGCAGATTGGATTGGATCAAAGCTGGTTTGAATTGAACCCAAACCATTTAATTTTATATAACTGGGTCATTAATGGATTGACGAATTAGATAAATTAAATTAAAACTCAACCCAATCCACCCAATTGCCACCACTGGAAACCAATCCCAGTGGCAGTCACAAATTTCACAAATTGAAATGTAGAGGCAGGAACAGCCGCACTACACTTTTTATCGTGTTGTAAAAGGGTTCGGTTAATACTGGATCGTTATGGCCTTGTGGGAGGAAAAAGGGTCATTATCGGAGGAGGGAGGACCACACACAAAGACAATTTGGCTCAATAGAGTTGGCGTAGCTTGTAGGTGAGGGGCTAGCCTCGATCAAGTGGGACACTCCTACATTAATAATAATGAGACCTCAACTTGCATATGTGAACTAATCGAAGTTTCCGGGCAGAAGCTAGGCAGAACTCAGACCTCAGAAGTGAAGAAGAGGTCCATCCAATGCCTAATTTGGTTTCCCTTTCCTTCACCAGCCATTTTCATTTTGCCCAATTTGCCTTCTAAAACCTAAACTGTCTCTCCTTTACATTTATTATTTAATAAAATTAACGTCTCTTTCTATATACGTATACAATCTCACTCTGGGAATAAGTGACTGTTTGGAATGTCCTGTGATGTGATCGTTAGACGTACGTTTGTTGTATCTATGGTCGGATAAAGGATGAGATTACTCTCTAATTTGGTTAGGCCCACGGTGTCTACACAAAGTTTTCTGGGATCCCATACCTAATCTTCATTTCATCTCCACTGGCTCTGGGTCTGGGTGACACAAAAACAGAAAAAAAAAAAAAAAGGTTCTGCAGCGACGTTACTCGACGCTCGTTAATTTGATAATTGAGGACACCAGTCCCAGAAATGACTCCATCTATTTATATATTGTAATCATATTCAGATATATGTCTATTTATATATTGTAATCATATTCAGATATATGTTATGTTGTAAATTGTAATTCTTTCAAATGCAGAACGATTGTGATACGCTTGGAACTTTCAAGGTAGGCAAAGCCAACTCCGCCTGCATAATCCAGACAATGAATGCCTTTGATTGGTCTTATCTTTGATGTCGGTCTGGTCTTAACCACGAGGTTACTTGTCGGTCCTATGAGAATTCACATCTGCGCCCCTACAACGTTTTACAGTATATTTAACCGTCGTTTATTAAGAATATCTTCTGATGATGGCATCATTGATTCTAGTATCATCATCAAAAAAGATATTCCCGATACGATACATGGCAGAGATGTACTGTAGGATATTGTGGGGCGCAGATGTTAATTCGTCCTTACGAGGCCCGACAACGCATCCCATTTGGGCAGCTAGAATAAAATTGGACCACATTTAAATTACTTGTATCCTATTCATTTTGTGAACCCATCGAGATATATTTAGAATATGAAATTGTTGTCAAAGGACCAACATCATAGCAATTGATGACTTGGTTAGAGTTGGTAATCCTAGATTCGACCTGCAGCCAACCATCCATCCCTAACCCTAATCTGATCTGTTTTATTATAAACTAGCTTTCGGTTGATATGACCCAACCTCGTTAAATAATTGGAACTGGTTAGGGTCCTGTATTTATTTGGTCATTGGGATCCCTAAATTAATTAAAAATATATATCATCAGATGACAAATGTTTCAAATGAAAAACAGACCGAACCCGACCCGACCCATTGACGTTTCCCACTTGGTTCTTTCTTAAGTCGTTATTTTCAACTCGGGTACTTGCAGTTGAAGAATCCGATTGAAGCTCTGGTCTCTCGCGATTGGTGCGTGATGGCGTCCACCTGAGGATAAAAGGCTTAAAGAAAGTATTGATGTTGTAGCAGTAGTAGTACATCGGGAGAGTCGTAATCTTCATTAAGAAGCTGTTGGATTAGAATATCTCAGTTCGAAAAGGAAATGTAAGCTGTGGGGTCACGGTCGCGGCTCTAGCCTTGGCTATTTTTATTTTTTTTTCTTTTAAGTAGTAAAAAAAAATCGAAAACCAAGCAATGGCAAGTGAGGTCATTACAGTTGGTGGGTTTCTGGCTTTTCTGTGTTTTTTACTTTTTCTTTTCTCTTTATATTCTCTATTTTTCTCTCTCTCTACTCATTCCACTTTTGGTCTCTCGAGAGTCCTACACTCCAGGGCTTGACTTTTACTACAAACAAGCAAAAGAACGTCACCGCGGCCTAATCTCTGGATGCCCGACCAAAAAGATAGGTGGTGGGTTAGAGTTTGAAAGACGAGAAGAGATGATAATTACCCACTTCCAGTTTGAGTGTGCTGCATCAACATCATACCCTAGTTGACTCTAGTTACCTTTAACCCCGGTTACCTCACTTAATCCCTCCCTCCTCGTCTCGTCGTCTCGTCGTTGTTGCCAAAAAAAAAATCAATATGTTTTTTAACCGTGGTAATAAGTAATAAGATTAAGATTATCTGCTTCGGTTGCCTCTCAGCTTTTAAAAGTTAAAGCAAAGTTTTCATAGAACAGAATTTCACCTTGTCTTTCCTGTTTCCTTCGCGAAATTTTCAATTTGTCGTATCGTGATACACTTCTCGATTCATCATCATCAATGGCAAATGGCAAAGACCTTTGATTCACAAAGGCCTAATTACCCATTTACTTTTTAATTAATTAAATTAATAGGTAAAACCCTTCTTTATTATATATATATATATATATATATTTTAAATTCGATGCTTCTCTCTGCCTCTACTATATTTTAGTTTGTTTTGTTTTTTGTGAATTTGTGCCGGAGCCCAGAGGAAGAGGTAGAAGATAAAAAGTTTTTCTTCAGATCTGAAGAAACATATAAGAACGAAACTCAATGTGGCATAGACCTCATCTTAGCTTTGTTTTGTAAATTTTGTGATCGACAAGCATCGGTGAAGGATGAAATGTTGTGGAGGTTTCTTTAAATTTCGGCGGTGAAGCTTCAGCCTTCAGGTGTGAAGCCTCCTTGTGTGTGTGTGCGCGTGAAGTTAAAAGCATAAAAGACCAAAAAGAACAACAACCAGAGGAAGAGGTGAAGGAGGTCTTCACTTTAATAGTTGGAGTCTTCTGTTTTTTTCCCCTCGGAGCTATACCTTTCGATAAACCTGCCGAATCCGACATGGGCATGGACATGGACGACTGCTTTCGACCTTCAAACGTGTGAAGTCGAAGGAGATTCAGACGAAATGACAGGTCTTGGTCGCAAGGTGGATGCTTTCAGGGGGTTCTGTAAGGACTGTGTTCTACGAGGATTCGTCGGCTTCGTACTGAGATTGCTTCACTACCGGGTAAACAATTCCTGAAAAAAAGGCAGCGAGCTCTCTTTTAATTAGATCGTGGTTGTTTTAGACTTTAGAAATTGCAGTGAGATTCGATTACCACGGTGAATAGCATGGAGGTTTTATGAATCCCCTTACTATGAGGATTACTGCCGTGCCAAATCTCTAGGTATTTCCAGGCAAGCGAGAGTGAAGTTAGGGTTCTGCGACATATATATCTTCAGGCTAGAGGTTTGAGTACGGAGAGTAAATGTACGACATGGTCTGCTAGAGCAGTAGAAGAGGCTCAAAAGGCGTCATTACTTATGAAAATTAGCTTCACTTTTGGGTAACACCGGAAAACATTCAGTAAGGAACTCCAAGTGGTGAAAAAACTGCATACAGGGCTTTAGAAATTTCTTTTCTTTAAGCTGGAACTCTGCAACCTGACTTAACTTCTTTGGTAGGTCTCCCTTGAAAGATTCTAAGAAGCCTTTCAAGAATGTATTTCCTTTTCTTATTTCTTTGAATCGGACCTTCTGCTTTCCTAGAGAGGTGACATGTTTCCTTCTACTCTTTCAGTAGAGATTTCTCGCCAAAGTTATCGTTTTACCTCTTCATCGGAGATACTTCTTTTGTGTGTTATTTTATCGCTGGAATTGAAAGGTAAGAGATTTATGATCATATGCCTCTTTTTTTAGTTATTATTGATTTCCCCCTTCTATCCTACAGTGTCTGTGTGTGTGTAACTCCGTGTGTTTTCTTCATTTTATCTTCATGGTTATTAGGCCTGAAATATGTAACCTTTCTTTCTTTCTTTTGTTCTTTACAGACTCTGCTGAAAAATAGTCATCAGGAAAGGAGTTTTATTCTTTGAAATCCGTTTAATTGCTATAAGGGCTATAATAATCTTCTGAACCGCAATGATTACATTCACGGATTCGGTGAAAGAACCAATGAAAGAAACCGAGAAATGCCTGGATTCTCAACTCTGGCACGCCTGCGCCGGAGGAATGGTGCAGATGCCATCGATCAACTCCAAGGTCTTCTACTTCCCCCAGGGCCAAGCGGAGCATGCTCATGGGAACGTTGATTTTGGAAATTCACCAAGAATTCCCCCACTCATCCTCTGCAGAGTCGCTGCAGTGAAGTACTTGGCGGACCCTGAGACAGACGAGGTTTATGCAAAGATAAGGTTGGTACCCCTTCGGAACAACGAGCCCGACTATGATGATGATGGGGTTCTTGGAAGTAACGGATCTGACGTTGCAGAGAAACCTGCCTCTTTTGCAAAGACCCTGACACAATCTGATGCCAACAATGGTGGAGGTTTCTCTGTCCCTCGGTACTGTGCCGAGACAATCTTCCCCCGCCTCGACTATTCTGCAGATCCTCCTGTGCAAACTGTTCTTGCCAAGGATGTTCATGGCGAGGTTTGGAAATTCCGACATATTTACAGGGGTACACCACGTCGCCACCTCCTGACAACAGGATGGAGTACCTTTGTGAACCAGAAGAAGCTCATTGCAGGGGATTCAATTGTGTTCCTGAGAGCAGAGAATGGTGAGCTCTGTGTCGGAATCCGAAGGGCAAAAAGAGGTGTTGGCGGTGGACCAGAATCCCTATCTGGATGGAATCCGGCTGCTGGAAATTGTGTCTCGCCATATGGGGGTTTTTCTGTCTTCTTAAGGGAAGATGAAAACAAGCTAATGAGAAATGTCAATGGTGGAAATTCAAACTCTGGTGTGGGTTTGAGAACACGGGGGAGAGTGAGGGCTGAATCTGTCATTGAGGCTGCAACCCTGGCTGCCAATGGGCAGTCCTTTGAGGTCGTTTACTACCCAAGAGCAAGCACTCCAGAGTTCTGTGTGAAGGCCTCAGCTGTAAAGGCAGCAATGCGGATCCAGTGGTGTCCAGGAATGAGGTTCAAGATGGCATTTGAGACCGAAGATTCTTCACGGATAAGCTGGTTCATGGGGACTATATCTTCTGTTCAGGTTGCTGACCCCATCCGCTGGCCTAATTCACCTTGGAGGCTGCTTCAGGTATACTGTCTGTCGATTATATTGTCATTTGACTCATTTAAACTGATTGATCCTTTTCTCTGGTTTTTCTTTCTATTAACTTTGGGCTATTGCCATTGTTGTATCTGTTATTTTTTCGAGGATAGTGACATTTAGTTTTCTAAATGTTGCCATAATCTATTACTCAACTTCTAATCTTGAATGCTTATTCTGAGGGACCAACATTTGCTCTCTAATGGCATACTTAGCTTAAGTTTCAGGGTGTAGTTCCTGAAAGAAACACATCAGATTGATTACATATATCGCTTCTCTTTAGCATTGTGGGAAATAGGTTAGAATTGTATTCTTGCACCTCATATCCATGGCTGCTCTCCATCAAACTGTATTGTTTATTTTTATAAGAGGTATTGTTTGCACTCACAGTAAATTCATATAGGCATCGTATTCTCTTTCAGTGTTATCTGGCTCTAGATTCTTGCAGTTTTATTGCTAGTTGAAGTCCTAAGGTACCGCCTACAGTGTCTTCCCCGTGTGCTGTCTTCTGACATTACAAGTCTAGCTTATGTCTAGAATATATCGTCCCCTGGAGAAATATGCATCTTCTACTTTGGCAACCAACTTGGACTGGATGGCGCATAAGTTTGGCCAGAACTGGCATGATAATCATAATAGAGTTGACTGAATGACTGTATTTAATGCAATAGTTTCTGCTAGATGTATCGATTGTGTTGGTTAAGTGAATCAAATTCCTAATCTAAAAATCAATTTAACTGTGGAAATTTTCAATGAATTGATCCATGATTTTGTGTTGTCGATACAGAAACCATCAACTATTAATGCCTACTTATTTTCATAAACATCTGGAAAATACTGTGGATGGTACTAAATTCAGTGATTTATGGCTGCTTACTGGAAGATTGTATAGTCCACATTTTTGGTTTATGTTGCCTCTTTTTGAGTTTTTAAAGGCATATTCATATGTTTAAGTTGATGTTGATATTTATATTCTCACTGTTCTTGCTAAAATCTGTATTGTAGGTAACCTGGGATGAACCTGATTTGCTGCAAAATGTGAAGTGTGTCAGCCCATGGCTGGTAGAATTGGTGTCAAACATGCCTGCCATCCATTTGTCACCCTTCTCACCCCCGAGGAAGAAGTTTCGACTCCCACAACATCCAGATTTCCCCCTAGACAGCCAATTTCAGATTCCTTCATTTTCAGGAAACCCCCTTGGGCCCAGCAGCCCCTTGTGTTGTTTATCAGACAACACTCCTGCAGGCATACAGGGAGCCAGGCATGCTCAATTTGGTATATCTTTATCAGATCTCCACCTCAACAAACTGCAGTCGGGTCTGTTTCCGGCCAGTTTCCAGCGGCTTGATAACACTACTCCACCATCCAAAATCAACAACGGCCTTATTAGGGGCAACCCTAATGGTAGTGAGAATATATCTTGCCTGCTTACCATAGGGAGCTCCACTCAGAGTTCAAGGAAATCTGATGGTAGAAAGTCACCCGGATTCTTGCTCTTTGGACAACCAATCCTCACTGAACAGCAGATCTCTCTTAGTTGCTCTGGTGAAACTGTGTCACCAGTCCTTACAGGAAACAGTTCATCAGAAGGCAATAATCAGGACAAGGCAACAAATTTCTCTGATGGTTCTGGATCTGCCCTTAACCAACTTGGCCCACTAGACAACTCATGTGAAGGGTTTCCATGGTACAAGGAACGCCCTACAACTGAGATCGGTTTGGAGACTGGCCACTGTAAGGTATTCATGGAGTCGGAAGATGTGGGTCGGACTCTTGACCTCACAGTTCTTGGCTCATATGAAGAGCTATACAGAAGACTGGCAAACATGTTTGGCATAGAAAGATCAGAGATGCTGAGCCGTGTTCTCTACCAGGATGCAACAGGTGCAGTAAAACACACTGGGGATGAACCATTCAGGTGAATTTTGCTTTTTGGTTCTCAAATACTCGAAGGTCTGCATTACTTGAAAGTCTACTGAAAATTGTTGTTTTCCCTGTTATATTGCAGCGAGTTCATGAAAACAGCAAGAAGGCTGACAATTCTAATGGATTCAGGCAGTGACAATATAGGAAGGTAGAGTCAACAAAACAAACAAAATTTTACTTGTTAAATGTACAGTTGGTTACCAATTCTGTTCCAATGGTCACCTATTTGTTCTTCTTGGGGTTGGAGAAAAAAAAAGTGTTGATATCGATCGAGATGGAAAAACCTTCTAAAGGAATCATCTCTGTTAGTGAAAAAGGCTTTAATTTCAAACTTTTGCCAACGTGAAAGCTTAATTCTGCAAGTTGATTCCTCTTATTATCCAGTTTCATTAAGAGAATTTGTACAAATACAAGTGGAACATATTTTGCAGGGTATGGATGACAGGGTTGCGGAGTGCTGAAAACGGACTAAATGCAACTAATAAGACGGGACCATTAAGCATATTTGCTTGAGATAGGACAATCTGGTTTCTTAGAGAATGTGTCGAAACTAATGAACTATTGACGAAGTTTCTTTGGTGGGATGTATTTGGCTATGAATGTTTCTTTCTTGTTTTGGGGTTCGGGATGGCTCTTTGTTTTCATATAATATAGCCACTGGGAGAGGGACATAAACTCCTTATGGTCTGGACTGTTTAATTTTAAGACAAATAATTTCCTTTATCTTTTAACATGGAATTGTTGGTGTGCTCTATTTTTTGCTCATTATCGATTCAACTGTTGGCATTAATATTGCATTGAACTGCCGGAGCAATTTTTCCTTTTTTTTTTAATTTTTGGGAACAAATTTCAGATTCCAGATATCCGTAAGCAGTCGAAACATGGTAGATATCGAGACAAATGAGAGAGTGAGAGAGGGGTTTAATTTGTTAGTGTCCATCCATCCAGTAAGCCCAGCATCCGGCCTCGCACTATCGCCTTCTTTTGTCGCCGCTACACCCACACGGAGAGACAAATGCTGCTGGCAGCTGGCTGTGGCCGATAGCTTTAGAGTAAGGACGAAGGATGGCAAGAGGACTTTTTCTCGGGCCTAGCTTTGCCATTCTTATAATAGTGGACGTGAGATATCCACATTTTTTGTCCTCTACCAGAAAGGCAGGTTGAAAAGAAAAAGGAAGAAAAAAACATCGGTAATCAACCTTTCCTTTTCTAAAAGAAGATAACTGTGGCTGCAAACCAAAAAAAAAAAAAGATACAATCCATATGCTCCAGAGGTTTGAGATCCCACTCCCGATGGCTCCTGGCTTTTGTCCTACTATCTGATGTATGTATCTCACAGTCGTTCTTCACTTGTATATGATCCGTCGCAATCCAAACTTGAAAGGATTACTTCTTTCTAATTCAATTTTCAGTCTCCAAACATATGATGTAAATTCACTTCACCTCTGCGGTGACCAGGCTGTGATTTGGATTTTGGCGTCAGCCGTCAGGGGTGGCGGGGACTCCGTGGACCGTGCCTAATACGGTAATACCAAGGTGAGGTATGGGGTTCAGTAGGCTCAGAAAAAGTCCCCAGTCATGTAATGTAATTAGAGTAACTAGTCTGACTCTGAGCTTATCATCACTGGAATATGAACTCCAATTTGAGAAAATTAGCCATTGATGAATGTTTTGACTTCATTTCTTTACTTTACCTGTAAATTGTACTAGTCAATTGGAGAAGAATTGTTAGGACCAACGCATCTCTCCCTCTCTATGGATGCGACGTATGTGCTGATGCTTTTTTCTATTGCACAGAGCATAAGTGAAGCTTAGGAAATGATTAAAAGAAACACTATTAAATGGATATGGGGGGTGTTTTTTTGGACCCGGAAAACTGATGGACCACGAGAGAAACCAGAAACCGGAGGACAGCACGGTTTCATAGCTATTTGCTGAAGATAGACAGAAGCTGATTTGTAGGATCCAACTATCGGGATTGTTAAATTAATTCTTTAATATATCCAATTAGACAAAAGAAATTAGAATTGAGAATTGACTTTGCGTATATTCGGTTTTTACAAAATCAACCATATTCCTACTCCTACTGGAAAAGACAAAAAATAAAACAATGTTTGAGTTGAGGATGATAAAAATCATAATGCGAGATTTCTTTTTATTTATTCATTTATTCTTTTGCAAATAAGTTGTAGTTGTTGTCGTCTTGTGGGTCTGCTGCGTTGGCGAAAATACTCCCCATCTGCTGTCGGACGTAGTGGGTCTTGCCACTCTGCTTTGCTCGTCTCCTGTCTACGCTGCTAGTGAGTTGTGATTTGTGAATTGTGGGGAGAGAGAGATTCCCAATCCAATGTGGGAATGGGAAGGCCAAAAAGAGGGATGGTCGCAGGAAATAGAATTACAGAGAGAGGGAAGGAACCGGAAGAGGAAGGGGGTTGGGGGGGGGGGGCTTGGGAAGTTGGAGAGGAACACATTCCCCCACGTGAACATCGGGACCCACAAAAATGTAATCAATAGTCACGTGAGACCGCGTCAGCGAGTGCAAATGTTGCGCCGCTTTGATGGCCGGGCCCTTGTCCTAGTTGACTACGCCCCACCCCACCTTCAACTCCAAGAGCACGCACACACTCGAAACTCTGCCCTCTCTCTCTCTCATGTAGAGTTGTAGACACACTCACACACACGGCTTTGTTTGCGCTGGCGTCAGATCAGAATCTGATGGTTATATATTGGATCCATTGAAATCATCTTCTTACACCCTAAAAAGAGTTCCGCAGTTTTGCACTCCTTGGCCCCGAAATAAAATACAAATACGACACTCTTGCGTTTTTGATGTACGTAGATCACGTGATTTCCGGATTTCCGAATTTAGAGATGGGATCCACTGATCCACATTTCTGTGGTCTGCATACTCTGTGTAGACTGCTGCAGGCTGAGTGCTGACTCTCCTCTCTCTCTCTCTCTCTCTGCAGGATCAATTCGATAATTAGGTAATTGGATACGATAAACTCACGAGAAATTAGAAATTGGGCAGTCAAACAGTCAAAAGAAAAGGAGGGGTGGAATTGCAGAAAGTAGAACTAATAACGGAACAAATGGAGACATCATCAGAGACAAAATGCCTTTTAATTTCAAACCCTTGCTTCCCCAATCGCCCTTGTTTTCAGTTCAGTCCCCCCCACCCTTTTTTTCTTTACTTAATAAACAAAAGCTGGCCCCCATCTTAAATCTTGTTCCCTACCCGACATGTTTCTCTCCCAAGTAAGTCTTAATAAACAACATGTTTTATCTTGATTAATATCTGTTTTTCATCCACTCTGTTAAAGGAGAAAAAAAAACTTGGAGATCCAAAGTCACGATGAAAGCTCCATACCGTCCCATTCACGCGACATAGAAGCGTCAGCGTTTGTCCATGAATCCAACTTGCAATCCTGTTGATTATTGACTACGGTTTTCACTTCTCACCTCTTCACAAATTGGTTGCATTCTTTGTCTCTGACTTTGTTTTCAATTTTTTTTTACCCCAGCCTCGCCCTCGCAGAGTCGCAGTCGCAGTAAGATCCGGCAACCGTTCCGCCGCACTGTTTGTTTTCCACCCCGGCAGTGACCACTGACCACTGACCAGTCCACCACCTTCATCGATGTTTTCTCAATCCTATTTATATATAATTTTCTCTCTGTCTTAAACAGTTTCACTAAACAAGAGAAGAAATGATTAATGAATATGATCATCCATGATCCACCTCAAAGGCTAAGAAATAAGTTTAAAGAGAAACAGAAACAAAACATTAAACAATTAGACATACGCTTCAGACACAGACTTCGAGTGGTCACATGTTCAAGCCCTTATGGTTTTGCCTTGGCTCATTCACCTTAAATGTTGGTAGTTCTGGAATTGTTAGCTACTTCCCTCGTGCCTTTATATGTATAGATTGGTAGAGGGCCAGGCCAATGGGCCAAGTCTTCTGCTATTATTATACTGATTCATCAATGGTGGGCCATGACATGAGTAAAACATCAATTTACATTTTTTTATTCTTATTATATATATATATATATAAGCTGTTATTATTATTAATATATGAACAACATGGGTACAATGTTGATATAATAGGGATGGCATTATTGTTATTGCTTTAATCAACTTTTATCTCATTACTAAGTTGATGGATGATGGATCATGGGTCTCCACAAACTAGTAAGGCCCTGTTTGTTTTTCCACAAGCCATTTACCCATACTGAATTGATCATAAATTTTATCCAAGTAATTTTCAAACAATTGACTGTTTTTACCTGTAAATTTTATTGTTTTATAATATTTTGATTTTTGACAATTTTTTATATAGAAAAGTTATTTATCTACCTAAGAGATGGATAATTGATGTCTATGTGAAAATCAATTTATTGTAAAAATTCCCAGTTATCAATACACTAGAATATATAAGGGGTTTTTACTGTTCAGTCCACCCCAGAAATCCTAGTTCCACTGTACAGTTAGAAGTAGGTGTCAACTTGAAATTGATGCCAATTCACGAGTGGGTATGAGTGTTATAGGTGGAGGTGTTTATAATTTTGAATTGTTGTAGGTCTAGAGTTCAAATCAGAATTCTGAGATGGAGTGCAATTTAAAAATCTATCTATCTATCTATCTATATATATATATATATATTGATCAACTTTCACATTGACCAACTTACCCCTCTATTTATCAAAAAGCAAATAGGGCATAAGAGGCCATTCCAGATTTTTACTTTTTACCCTTTTCTCTTTAGGTTTATGTAGCAAATAAATGTATTTACACCTTTTCATATTAATCTTGCAACATACACAACCAAGCATCAGGATCCACCATTGTCTCCTATGTTTACTTCTCGTAAACCCTATTACTGTCTATTGAAAAGCTTTTACAGTTGTCCCTCAAATATAATAACTACTCTTGTTCAACTGAACAAGCAAGAAGATGTATTTTATTTATTTATTTATTTGATAGATGAATTAGTATTTTATTGAAGGGTGCAATGGAGATAAACAATTGTTAGAGGAACCTTACACAAATTCTACTGAAATTATATTGTATCGTAAGACAGGACTAGATTTGCAAATACGTTGACAGAATTTGTTCACTTTAATGCAAATCAATTGGCCACTTGTCATATCAGAACATGGATCCCAAATTTCAGTTCAATTCGGGTCCCCAACAATTGTTTTACCTAATGAATGCATTTTACTTAATTAATGTTTTGTTTAATACCCTATGGAACATATATAACAGCAAAATTTGGAATGGTAGCCCTGTTTCTTAAATGGACTTTAACCCTTTTCTCTTGAAGGGGCGGATCCACTTCCACCCCGGGTCGATCCGACTAAGATGGTTTAACGACTACTGTCTTGAACTAAGAACATATTTTAAGAATATTAATTATGTAGCCTTACTCTGCGATCTAGACACATAAAAGGTGAGTGTTTTCATTAAAGAATGGAATAGAAACTGCGGGACTGCAGAGATGTCGAGAATGGAACGTTGAATTTGAGAATGCTTCGCCAGTTGAATCCAAGGTGTGTTCCAAATTATATGAATATTGGTTACCAAGATCCAAGAATGCCACTAATTAATCTCCATATTTTCCTAACTAAAGTCAACCTCGAATTCTGCTTTCGAGGGGTGACAACTCCAATTTCTGTTTTCATTGAGAGTTGAGACCCAAATTAGACCAAACAACATAAACCGATAAAATGGTGCTGTTGGTCGGAGCCGGAGACCCGGAGTC